AGCAGCATTCTGCGTGTTTTTTGGAGGATGTTTGGGGGTAAATACGCTGTCGCTCTTTATTTATTGGTGGATGAAGGTCTTCTACAGGTGTTCTCCCCGCCCCAAGACTGAGTTCTGTTCCCTTCTCTTTTGGCAGTGACATGAGGGACTTCATCACGCCCTGTGGTGCCTGCAGACAAGTGATGAGAGAGGTGAGTGTTCACGTGGGGATCCCACATCTCCTGACCCCAGGCATCGTCCCCAAACCCAGGCATTGTCCCCTGACCCCAGGCATCTCCCCCAAAACACCTGGAAGTACAAATGGGGCGTTGCAGCCCCTGTCCCCAACCCCAGAACCAACTCTGGGCTCCTCAAATTGCCCTCTCTGGGAAAGGGGGATTCCTCCCTGTTCCATGGGTGGTAATTCATTAACTCGCCCTCTCCAGGGGGTTTAATTCCTCCCAGGAGCAGAGTTTGGCCCCGGAGCTGTTGCCCCGGCTCTGCCAAGCCTGAAAATGGGGCTTTTCCTGCAAAAAGCTGAGCTCCCCACAGAGCCCATCCTGCTCTTACCTCCCTCCTCCCCATGGGCACCCTGGCACCTGCAGCCTGGTTTTGGGTGGTTAATATTTAATGGGCCACGGGGCTCAGCTCAGTGGCCGGATTCATCAGGTTTGGAGGCACCAGGACTCACCCTGGGGCAAGGTGGGGAGACAAAAATGGAAGATCTGAGCCCAAAATACCCCTTGGGTCAGACGATGCTGAAAAGCCACCCCAAAATACATGCAATAGAGGGGGATGCTCGCCACGAACCTGGCCAAAAAAAAGGATTATTTGAAGAATTTGAGGAAGAAGTGCAGGTTTTGCAGCAAGGCACTTTTTCTCCCTCTTCTCCTCCAGTTTGGCACAGACTGGGATGTCTACCTGACCAAAGCTGATGGGACCTACATCGTCAAGAGGCTGGAGGAGCTGCTGCCGCTCTCCTTCGGCCCCGAGGACCTGAAGAAGGTGTGAGCAGCGTGGCCGACGCCGGCTTTTGCCCTTTAAAAAAAAAAAAAAAGAAGTGTCCCAATCTCGCTGTAGGCGAGGAGGGGAGATCACTGGTGGAAAAGGGTTTGAGGCATGGCTCGAGCTTGGGCTTGTTGGTACCGAAATTGCTTGGGAAAATGCTGGATTCTTTAGCTCTGAAGGAGAAGTGAAAGCCAAGAGGAAAAGCTCCACCAACCCCAGTGGTTATTAATAAGCCAGTTGAGATTAGGAGATTTGCTGGAACTGGATGGTTATCGCCCTCAGCGTGTCCTTTGCTCGTTTTTCTCCGGCTTGTTTTTCTTCCTTTTATTCCGTTTGTGGGGACGAAGAGGGAGAAGAGTTTTCTGGGGAGTTTTGGTGTCTCCGCAGTCATGCCGTTTGCTGACTGTGTGATTAATTTAATTGCGCACAATGAAAAATTAATGTGTTGTATTTCCAAACGGGTGCTGGGTTGGGCATTACTGCCTACGCCCGAGTGAAATAAAAGCAGTCCTGGTTTATCTCCTGCAATTTGCAGTCAAATGATGAATCAATCACAGGGAAGGAAGAAGCTGGGCCTTGGGGCTGCCCCGCTGCCAGGCAGGGCAGGGGGACACTGGCTGTGCAGGCAGGACACAACCAGAACGTGGCATAGCCCAGAGTGTGGCCAGGGCACTGCTGGCCATATGGCTAGTGTCCTCCTGCCCTCGCTGGCCGTGTCCTGCTCCGTGCCCTGCTCAGTGCCCTGTGTGTGCACTGGGCTGTGCACAAGTGTCAGGGTTTAACCCCCAACAGCAACTGGGACCACACAGCCACTCGCTCACTAGAATAGGAAAAAGAGAGGGAAAAGAGAGGGAAAAGAGAGGGAAAAGAGAGGGAAAAGAGAGGGAAAAGAGAGGGAAAAGAGAG